AATTTAATTTTTGTAAATGTAGTCGTATACTGTTTATTATATTGATTTATCCAGGTCGTTATTATTCCTAGATAAAGGAACTACGTCACTTATGGAAAAGAATTATTATTTTAGAAAATATTTCAATTTTAATACTGGACAGTAGAGTGCATGTTTAAACTGAAAAGATTTCAGAATGGTATGCTACAGTGAACATTATTAACGTTACAATATTTTCTAAATAAACGTTCTTTTTGTAATAAGCGACTTAGTACTTTTATGTGAAATATGAATTGTATTTAAAGAAATAAAATTGATTTTCATATATTTTCTGTGGATTCATCTACAAAAAATTTGCATCTGAAGTGCCTTGAAATCATTCAAATTATGCCTAAATCATTTTTTAAAGTCATCGGTAAGGAAGATATTTAACAAAGATGATTTAAATAGGACACCCTGTATATTATCATTTATGAACTCAGAGTAGATTATAAATAAATGTTTTTGGAACTGACAGTATCTAAACACAAGATTTTGAGTTTCTCGTAATCCTAGCAGTAGCTAAGAAAAAAAATAAAACAAAATAATTTTTTTGTTAAAAAAATATAACGTATTTTTTGTTAAAAAAATACCATAACTTGCTCATATTTTTTCCATTAGGTGAATTTAACTAACTTTTTATCGCTAACCTGATAAAAGTAATTATGTTATAATTATTCAGTTAATAATCCTATTTTTGTACAAGTTTCATTTCATGGCATAGGCGTAATGCGAGTATTATTTGGCATATTATAAATCCAAATAACTTTTAATATTAATATTCGGCAATATTCGATAATATTAATTTCCTAATATTATCTGCTTAATTCCTTTGATCGTTGTCATGCAATTTATTATTGTTTCTATAATTTAAACGAAAATAGTGGTCAAAATGAGTGACGAAAATAATGTAGATGAATAAATAAATACAATGGAATAAATAGATACTCTGGAGAAATAGACAAAGCTAATGATCTCTAAATAATGAATACAACTGAATTAACAATACAGAAACAGAATGCTGTATAATTGCAAAGAGAATATAACACGAAACTCGTAAAAGACTAGTGACGCTATAAATATAAATATGCGAACAAATTATAAATATAAATTTGTCACAGAAATGTAATGTAGCAATTGAATAATTTAAACAGAGAAACGTTTGAAAAATTTAATTTAATTACATCGAAACGCTGAATTCAATAATTCCGTTCGCTTTATATTATACAATTACTTATATTTTAAAATGTTTAATAATCTTGCATTTTCTATATCGTTAAAATGAATTCACGATCATTGAAAATTATGACTATTTATTGTTATATTTATTAACAATAGATATTAAAATGAGAACGTTCTAACTTATCAATTTTACAAATAAATCTTTTACTTTTTCAATAAAATACTGTTCGAAAGAAGATTTTTAATGTTGAAAAATGTAATAATAATTTTAAAGTTACTTTGATACATTAAGAAATTACTTTGCAGCATTAAATATTTTAAATATAACGTGCTGAAATAATCAAGAACTGCGCACCCTGCAACCTTATTTTATGTGAAGAATATAAAGAACTGATAACGTATCACGCTGCATTCAATTCTTTTAAAAGGTTCCTATACATTGAGTCATCATTCCAAGAAAATTCTCTTATCGTTTCTGCACTTCCGAAACATTCACCTCGAAATATTCTACAATATTCATTTCGACATATTTCGAAATTTTTTCATAAACTTTTTACAAGAATCCAATCTTAATCGTTGATAAATATTGGTAAACATTTATCACCATATTTCCTGACGTCTATCGATATTCTTACCATCAATGGATTAAATTTGTCAATTTCCCAAATATACATACAAACTGCGTTTATACGTCGTAAATAATTAAATAAATAAATATGTTGTTTATACAACATGCGTTTACACGTAAACAACAGAATTCCCTATATTTCAGCAAAACTTTTGAACAAGTACTGGGAAAGCAAACATAATCATAAATAATAAAAACAACGCGATTTCCATTTGAAAAGATTTAAATGTCTCGCTGACAACCTTTGAAAACGAGAAAAAGTGCCATGCAAAAATTGAATCGCGTTAAAATGCAAAATTCTAAGAATAATTTCTAAGCGCTCCACGCTTTTTTCTCGGTCCCTTTTAGTTGCAGATAGATAACGTAGTGGGCGCACTCGCGAGCATGTAACTATCACCTACATCAGCTAGTGGTCCCTAATTGGGACTTCCGGCAGGGGTAATTTCACGATTTATACTCCGGAGAAGAGGATCTCTCTTACTTGATCATACACAGAAATTCTCCGTCGATCTGGGCCGAAGAACGCATGAATGAAAGTTCACGACGAATTAACAACCATAGAGTGTGCAAAAATTGAAGCGTGAACGGTGAAGGCGCGTCGGGCTACCGAGAAGTCGCACTATACTTGTCATAATCCGTAGTGTAACTTTTCGAAGAAACGTTATCTACCGTTCCGGCAAATACGTAAGTCAGGAAAATGACCGCTTACCGTGCCCTTTCATTCCGGCGAATGGCACGGAAATTCGCGATTTGGATGAGAAGTACGTCGTCGAAAATAAAAACGCGTAAAGAACTGGTGCCCCATTTTCAACTTTATCCAAATTCGCTCTGAATTTTAATTCGGAGCACGACTAAATTGAACGGCCGTAAACATCGAGTATAATTTTCATTTCTAAAACGACAGCGGTAAAATTGTATATTTGTATGAGAGTACGAAATAATACGGTTTCTCACGCTCAACAGTTTCATTCTAACGAAAAAAGAAAAATGGGGGAAAAAGGAGAAAGAAAGAGAGAAATGTCCCGAAAAAAAAACAGGCAGTGCACTTGCTTTTGGCTTTGAAAGAATCACAGAGAAATGTGCGAGACACGCTCTTCGTGAAAGGATGATTCATGAGACGGACGCACACGCACGTATGCGCGTCCACAGATAGTCGCGTATGCATATGACATCGAGCCAACAGCACATTTCACGGGCCAGACGTTAAGCAACATAGGGACGTGCATCTCGTATGAGACACTGATCTATCGACACGCCATTAATAATTTTCCGATAACGTTACGATGAAAATCGAATTTCACGGTTAAAAATACACCAGCGATAGGAAAAAGGAATAAAATTCATTTACGCTTACCGCTTTCGATGTAGGGAACCAGCAACAGCAACAGCAGAAAGAGAACATATCCGCACGTATCACTGATCATCGTAACCATATTCTCTCCCACAGCAAGAAGCCGCTAGCTAGATATTGGCACCACCTCGCGAATACGCGCAAACAACAATAAACAAAACAACAACGCGACGACGCGAGGAAGTAGCGGTTTGAAGTGGTAGTCACTAACAGTCGCAACGAGACACGGGAAACGCGATGGAGCGACGAGCAATAACGTTGGCGCGTACACTTCGGGGCTTCGTGATGCGCGGTGATCAAAGATGAACCAATATTTCGAGTATATTCACCACTCAGCCTGCGTAGCAACTAGAAGCACAGCACACATTCGATGGTGTTTTCACTGACGTTACGTTGTAAACGCGTTCCGTTGTTCGCGCGCGCGACTTTTCGGAGCAGCCGAGTCATACGCGTCGTACGGAAACCAGCAGAAAATGACGGACGGCCACGGCACAGGACACACGGCACATCTCGGCTCAGGGTTGACGAGCTTACGCCATCGTTTTCCACCGATATTATCACTTACACGCGGACGGTCCTTACCACCGACGATCCGCCCCTCGTAACCTTTTTCCGTTGCACGCTATTCGTCTCCCTCGTTCCTCGTATCTTCCTCCACTATTTACTTCTCTGCCGCTCGTTTGGCCGCGCTGTCTCGCAAGCGTCGCAACAGCTGACCGCTCTTTTTCTCACACTCTTTTACGAGACGACTCAAGATTTAGCAGACGCATCGCAGCAGCAACAAAACACACACACGACGTCGGCCAGTCGCCACCGTTGCCACTGACAGTCCTACCACCCATGGAAGTTTGACTTCCCTGCGATATTCAAGGTATGCTGTTCGTTCGACACGGTAACGCCAGAGGGCGATAGTTACCATCACGACGAAGCGATGCTATCCTACAATGTAAACGCGTGACGTCATCCAGTAGCGTATACGAGTTTAAGCGAAAATACGTTTGAAGATATAGTCTTTAAAATTTTATTAGACATAAACTTCGCATATATATTTCATACCACAGTAAATAGTAAAATTTATTCAAGAATGTTTTGTAAAATATATTTGTTATAATATTATATAATTATCTTTAAACATATAAAATGAGCAGGAAAAAAGTTACTATCGCAGTGTTATATTAATTTGTGCACAGACAATTTTACATTTTTATCTGCAATTTCAACATTTTTTAATTATGATTCGTCATTGTATATTTTTTACGATTATCAAATAATTTTTGTACCAGAAAATTAAATACAGAAAGAAGCAAATGGTAAATTGTTGAATTATTTTATTAACTAGCTAGTCTATAAAAGGAACGATTTAAAGTCTGAAATGAAAATATACGTAAAGTTTATATGGAAGCTGGAAATTTTACGTCTATGTGGTTGGCTGCAGTTCCAGTATCCTTATACCCGGGAGTTTTAAAACCCAAACATGGATAAAATTTTAATATCACCTACTACATTATGAAATCCACTGTTTATTTAAACAAGTTTCGTTAAATAACTCTTACCAATTATTATTTCCTCGCATGTTTACATATATAAATGTAATAATGCCAATTAAATTTAACCTTTCCTTGTCGATAAATAACATCCCAACCATAAAAGGTAAGAAACACGCTCATTCTTATATCAAAGGAAATTCATTCCTTCATTATCAACAGATGTTAATTGATATTAATGTAACTTAATCTCCGATCGATGATACAATTCTACGCGATGCAATGTAACCTAGCAAGATCAACAGCATACGTGAGCAAATAAATATTCCGTGCAATTCAACGGAAGCATGTCAGAGATTCAATTTGCAAGTATAAATCAATATCCCAAATACAATCAACAGTTGAAGGAAGGTAGAAATAATTCAAAACGTGCGCAAATACTCGCACGAAATTCGTCCCAGTTCAGTTCAAGTAAAGTTACTACATTAAACATAATTTTATTACTTTCAATCACTAACCTCATTCCGTAACAGCGCAGCCAACGCCGAAAAGAGACAGAAATACCAGGCAACGTCGTGGAAACGAGAAAAGGCGAATAAGAGAAAGACGTAAACCTGATACTGACTCTTCTCCGATTCCTACGACAGAACAAAGATCTGACAGTGTACCGAGGAAAATTTATCAATGGTGTTCACAATGTTTCGGGAAAAAGAAATCCAAGATATCCCAGGTTCGTAAATCTCAGTCCAATTTCTTTAAGCGTCTCAGAGAGAGATGCAAGAAGAAAAAGCAAAGGAAGAAAACCACTTTCAAGGAAAAGAATGGCGTTTCAAAGACACGACACGAAGATGAGGTTAAAGGAATGTCGAGAGAAGAGAGGGATCAAAAGATCGATGTGTCAGAAGATCCGTTGAGTAGGAAAAGGAGGGAGAGGGGGAAGAAAGATCGACACGTTGGTGAAGTTAAAGAATCGTTAAGACAAGTGAGAGATCAAAAGATCGATATGTTAGAAGATCCTTGGACTAGTGAAAGGAAGAGGAGGGTGAAAAGAGATCGACGCGAAGATGAAGTTAAAGAAACGTCAAGACAAGCCAGAGATCAAAAGATGGATGTGTTTGACGACTCCTGGAGTAGGGAGTGGAAGAAGAGGAGGCAAAGAGATGCGCTGGCTCCATCTGTGCATTCGTTGGAGAGATCGAAAGAAGAGGATCAAGAGGAAGAAACGATTGAAGGTATTATTCCCGACGTGGGAATAGATTTCACGAAAAGCTGTTGCTACCTGTGCGCTAAAAATACGATGGCAATCGCGGCAGCACTGTCTGGTAAGGCGGAGAAATTCCACATGTCTATACAAGCTTCCACTAAAGAGATATTGACCTCCGACAAGAGTGTGAGTCCGGCTACACAGGTTAGGACTGTACAATCATCCGTGAGAGTAAAAGTGCGTGACATGGGCACCCTGATCCCGGATAAAAAGAAGAACAAGAAAATGCGGCCAAAATTGAAGATCAAGAAACTTAATATTCTTCCAAAATTAAAATTTCCTCTGTATCCAAAAGTGCGAACTGTTGCTTGCGAGACGAATCAAACGACGAGATATAATAATATACCACAATGTAGGGCAAGGCGTGGGGGAAACTGTGTAACGGTAGCTAATGCAACATAAAATGATATAAAATTATTTTCTTAATTTAGTGGTAAACGAGATGAGAATTATTTTTGACGTGTCTTAGAATTCGAGAATTTATTTTCTTATTGAATTTAATGTTTAGATATACACTGGGTGATTAATTAAATTAATGTTACTCGTTGACGAAAATTCTTGCAAAGTGTTTTAACCTTGTCTCAGAAAGTCAATTGAAATAATGTTCGAAGAAGCCCTGTCTCCGCTTGATTTAACGAAGACCTGCGTGCGTAGGATAATACTGTTTACAACTTTAATACACTAGGGCATTATGCGACGATCACTTTGACTTGGGAACGCTCTTGACACTTGAATAATAATTAAAGCAGTACAAATAGCATTTTGTATAAATTATTTATTATCGCCAAAGCACTTTTTACTTGCTTTCGATAATCAGTTCTGCTTTAACTGAATTTCAATTATTGGAATAATTTACGTGCTTTTATATAACGTAATAGCATTTAAAATTATTTAATTCAAATTTATCCACAGGAACAGATTTCCTTTTAAATGAAGGTTCTTTTCTTTATTTTTTTTTCTGTACAATTTTTTTTTATAATGATTTTTACAATATATTCAAAAAATTAATTGCACATACACGAATTTAATATATTCAAATCACATACATGGTGTTCTATCATTATTATCATCAATTAAATCTTTGCTTATTTTTATCGTACAAATAAATAACTTTTATTTTCTTGAGATTAATTCCTTTGTCTCTTTTCCTTACATCCATTGAACGTTCAATGGATACACGATATTCGGAGGAAAGCAAAGATTTTATTTTAATAGCTATTTATTATAATCGTAATTTATGTACATAAAATTGTTATCTCATGCATTTTTGGTAACATAAATTTATATTTTACAGTTGCCTAGCTAGCTAGAATTATTGTAAAGTAAGTGTATATATACGTTGTGAATGTCTCTCGTATGAAATCAGCGTACACTGAACTGAAAAACAGTCTTCATTGCACTTCGTTCTCTCGCGACTCTTGTCCGCTAAACAATTCGAATTCGTAGACGTTCAAACAGTATCTGGTGATGATACCACAGGTCGCGATGGTATCGCCATCGGGTTAATGTTGGCGTCATCTGACGTCGGAGTTCCAAACACAAGGGGTGTGCTATAGTACGGTAAGAGAGGGTACTGTGCTGGCGGGAAATACGCAGGCGGGAAGAGTCCCTGCCTTTGGGCAATTTTCAACCTGGAGGTAAGTTGTTTCTTCCATTTGGTACGGCGATTTTGAAACCATGTTTTTATCTGTACTTCTGTCAAATTTAGCGATTTCGACAGTTCCATCCGTTTGCTCACGCTTAAATATTTGTCAATCTACAAAAGAAATATAGTTATTAGCTTTACTCATATGTATATAAAATAGTATTGTTTCATAGTACTAATTTACTGTTAAATAATAATGTTAAAATATAATACTGAACAATATATATAAAAAGGATTATGAAATATAATTTCAATTTTTATTCAATAGCATATGATAAATAATTTTATTTTGTAGAGATGAAAAATATTATTTTTATATAACTTAATTTTTAACAAAATAATAGTATTAATAGGAATAGGAATTTTGTCCTGCCATGTTATTTTATAATGTTCAAACAATAGCTCTATTCCTATGGAAAATTTTAGCGTATCTAGTAGATCCTCAGGATAGCATGCCTTTCAATTATCACTTATTTAGGGAGCTATTTTTATACGAATGATTTTATCGTAGATTTTTAGATAAAGTTATTAATACAAAGAAGTTGAAAAATTATTGATTAAGAAAGATTTATAATATTAATATTTTATACATATTTTTATTGATATTTTCGATTAACTTATTACAGAATTTATAAAAAAAGATATATAACATTTATTTTATTGTTTTATACGTATTAATACAAAGTTATTAATACACAGAAGTTGAAAAATTATTGATGAAGAGAGATTTGTGATATTAATATTTTACACATATTTTTATTGATATTTTAATTAATTTATTATAGAATTTATAAAAAAAATATGTATCATTTATTTTATTATTTTATACGTATTTCTCTTGTTAGTTTTGATATTAATATTTTTAGTCGTAATTAATTAACAATCAGTTTGTGAATAATAAGAGCTGAAAGTGTTAGTATTTTGTATATATTTTTGTTGATATTTCAAATAACTAAAAAATGAAATTATATAACCTGGTACGAATGATATAATTATTGTAAATTGTTATATTTCGTTTTTTGAGATTTTTTATCACTGTTTAATGTTCGTGTCTGGAACTTTATTTTAATACTCGGGAATTTAATTATGGTTCGCGACAAAATAAACAAGGTAACGAAATATTTGCCAAAACGACGGTCGTTAAAGAAGTGACATTCGTGGCTTACATGAATTTTTTAACTTTCGTAAACAGTAAAGCAGAAAACATTTAGTACATATATTCTTAGCATATATGGGTATCTATAAGTCAATTTGTTTAATATTTTACGCGATGGATACTGTTCTGCACAGCTGTAGACATTCTTCCAAGTTTGCTAATAATTGTTTTTGTAAAACCAATTGTAGATATTTCAAGCCAATTAGAAAAGGAATTCGTGGTCTTGTGTCTACTGATGCTCTTAATTATTCACTATGCTTGTTTAAAATAATTGATGTACTGTATATTTTACTAATTTAAATTTTAATAACATTGACTAGTTAGCATAGGGTAATGAAAAATTTTTGCAAATAATTATTCTAATATACATCATCTGGTATTTTTCATTGTGTATGTATATGTGTATGTGTATGTGTGTGTTTTTAATTATTCTATTTCATAAACAGAAAAATTGTTTTATAGAAATTCTTTGATTTTTATAGAAAAGAATCTTTGAATTACTCTTTTAGCAACTTTTTTCAGTTTATCGCATTTATATTCGGATAATTTTGTAAGTTAAGAAATTAATACATTAAGAAATGGGTTTTTTGAAGTAACGAAACATTGGAACTCTTCGAAATTTAAGAAACTTATAAATTTTCAAAATTCGAAACTTTGTACTGTTTTCGTCTTCCGAAATTCTCGAAATCCATGTAAGAAGAAGATATGAAATAAATGAATAAAGAAAACAATATCCCACCATGTCATCATTTATTTTTCAGTATGTTCGACACTATACTTAATAAAAGGAGAAGTAAATTCGACTCAGAAAGTTTTTATTTGTGCTCAGTCTAATTTTGATCAATAAAGGAATTCAGAAAACTTAATGATTCCTGATTTTCCAAACAAAGTATTTCTTTTCCAAGGAAAAGTAAAATTGATACTTCGTATTTTAATAACTGTAAGTTCAAAAATTTGCAAGACTCACGAACTTTCGTAGAATTACAAATGCATGTTTTAAGAATTTCACAATTGTTTCACAGTTTTTAAATCATTTCAAAATTATTCCAAGATTTTTTAATTATTTCAAAATTACTCCAAAATTGTCAAATTACTACGAAATTGTTCCGAGACTTTTAAATTATTTCAAAATTGTTCCAAGATATTTAAATTACTTCGAAATTGTTCCAAAATTGTTCCAAGATTCTTTAATTATTCAGAAATTATTCGAAGATTTTTAAATTATTTCAAAATTATTCCAAGATTGTTAAATTACTTTAAAATTGTTTCAAGATTTATAAATTATTTCAAAATTATTTCCAAACTTCTAAACTACTCCAAAATTGTTTCATAGCCCCCATATTATTCCACAATTTCAGAATAATTTCCTCCAATCGAAATCACTCTTGTCATACCTTAAACTCCGCTTCGAGTCTTTCCAACTGTTTCGCGCTGTACGCCTGTCGCGGCTTCCTGTCGATACCCGGCTTCCTGGACCTTCTTCCACTCGGTTTAGGCGCTGCTTAAACAATCGATATTTCACGGAATTGAAGAAACCTTCTCCACCCTTTATCCCCGGAAAACTCGAGAATTTCAACGAAACGAAATATTAATTGCCCGGTGACTTCGAAACGATGACAGTCGATCGGGACGAAACCTTCCCGAAGATTTACAGCCGTGATAATAAAAATTTAACATTATAATCATGCCTCTTAATCGTTCCACTAACTTCGTCAGCTTGTACTCAATTACCACTTTCTTCGGTTCGGCCCGCTCATTGGACCGCGACTAGAGTTACCGAGCGTGTCTAAAACATGTGGGATTGTTTGAGGAACGTGTGACATCTTACTGTCAATACGAGCCAGAATGTGGCAAAGAGCTGAGCAAACAGTTTATACCGAGGAACGTTTGGATGCGATTATCATTATGGTGCAAAGAAGTTCCACACATTTCCGTTCAAGGGGTTATATGAGGTATTATACCGTTGTTAGTCGCATTTAGATAACATGACACTGCGGTGTATCTGAGATAAAAAAGAAAAAACATGTGTATAAAGAGGACGCATTAATTCCATCATTTTCACACTTACGATTTCATTGTTGGGTGAAATGGTATTAATAGAAATAATCGTGATTAAACTTTTGGAAAAAAATTTTCTATATATAGATTTTTGCGAATAATCGTGTTACAGATGATGTTTAAAAAGATGGTATTTGATTTTCGTTAATTTCTATTTTGTTTTTGTCAATTTTGCGATTTTGACACACGTGATTGCATTATTGTGTGAAATAATTCAAATTGAATTTTGATTAAATGGAATACAAATATAAATGGAATTGATTAAATTTTTGTACTTTGGAATTAGGACTACTCTGTTGCAGTAATAAATAATTATGTTATATGGTTTAAAAATCGAGATTTGTGTGTTACTATTTCCTATAAACATTATAATTTAATAGTAGTTAATCAAATTTCTATTCAATTTCTGAAGAAATTTTCTACTAAATTTTAAAATTTGGAAAAAGTGAGAGAATATTTATTTGATATTTTTCAAAAATTATTTTGACAATAACGAGTTGACATGACGCTCGAATGATGCACCTTTAATTTTAGATTTCATTGATTCTATTATTTTCACACTTACGATTTTATTTTAGTATGAAATAACACAAATACCATGAACTGTATATTAAATTTTAGTAACTAAATTTTCACTGTAAATTTTTGTCCTTCAAAATTACACAAAGTTAACTGAATAATAAAAATTCTATAATTTTTATTGCTATGTAAAATGCAATAGATAAAATTAATAATTATTAAATTTTCTAAGCAGATTTTCACTCTTTTTAAAATTATAAAATATTAATATAATTTTATTTCCATTCTAGAATAATAAAAATTCTATAATTTTTATTGCAATGTAAAATGCTATAAATAAAATTGATAATTGTTAAATTTTCTGAGCAGATTTTCACTCTTTTCAAAATTATAAAATATTGATATATTTAAATAATGTTATTCAAAAGTTAATATTCTATTAAATATGAATTGATTTGATGTTTAATTGATGCATCGATCATTTTAGTTTTTTAACACAATTTTGGCAGGTAATGAATAGAATTATTTATTATTCGTAGAAATTGGGTATGAAAATATAATTGGGAGTTCGTTGAGCTTATCATAAGCATTTTGAAACTCAGTGCCATAGTTTTCAACATTTACCGGAGTCGTGGAACGGTCATCTTTTCTCGTAAAATAGTTATCCTCGAATTCTGAAAATCGCGATGACTACGCGTAGGAATAGACATTTTTCTTTTCCTTTTTTCCCTTGTTTAACGTTCAGTTAGCTACCCGGCCCTTACACTCTAAACCAACAAATAGATGTCGCATGTTTGCACAAGACCTTTTGTATTCTCTTGTAAACCTTTCGAGTATAACCGAGACTGCTACAAATGAGAATACTTTGCTTCTTCACCATTTTCTCTATACAACTTTCTTCGTTACAACCTCGTTACATACATCTCCAATACAAAACAACCTGGTTCCAATATTTTATTTCTATTTTTCAAACGTGTGGAAATATTCTTTTTGATCGAACAGGATAAAAATTCAAAATAAATTAATTTCCTCCCAAAGAAGTTGCACAAAAATTTACAAAATGTTAAAATACTCGAATAAAAATATATTATATGATCTATATAAATATAGAGCGATCTCTCGAACTGGAAAATAATAAAATATCTCAAGATTTTACGAAATTAAAATTGTCAAAAATATAAGAATTTTATAAAGATTGTATTTCATGAAGATATATATTACGTGTACCTATAAATATCATTTCTGTACCTCAAACAGAGATTGTAAAATCGAATTAATATTCTCAAATAGGATTTTATAGTTGCTCTAATACAAAACAACCTGGTTCCAATATTTTATTTTTATTTTTTAAACGTGTGAAAATATTCTTTTCAAGCGAATAAAATAAAAATTCAAAATAAATTAATTTCCTTCCAAAGAAGTCGCAAAAAAATTCACAATATATTATAATACTCAAATGAAGATATGTTACTTAACCTATATAGATATAGAGTGCTCTCTCGAACTGGAACATAATAAAATATCTCAAGATTTTACGAAATTAAAATTGTCAAAAATATAAGAATTTTATAAAGATTGTATTTCATGAAGATATATATTACGTGGTACCTATAAATATCATTTCTGTACCTCAAACAGAGATTATAAAATGGAATTAATATTCTCAAACAGGATTTCATAGTTGCTCAATTTTTTCCAATAATTCAATTACAAATAGAGTAGGGGAAAATAAAACAGTGATAAGATCTACGTCAGAGGAAATCTATAAAAAGGCAACAAACATTCAAGTTCCTGCATAATTATCACAGTGCATATACTGTATGTATAGCACAGCTACATTTTTGCAAATAAAATTGTGTTTCATCTTATTTTCATTTTCCTCATGTGTGTACAAATTAATCGGTTTCCTTTTCTGTTTGTTTCAATTAATCGAGAAGGATTCGTCGTGCAAATTGAGCATATTTCCTAGAAGTCCGGCAGACTATTGGCCAAAAAAGGGAACGCAGTGACGAAGAAAGAAAACTGACGGAATAAAGATTTACGAGTGTACGGAGACATTTAGCACCTCTCCGGAAGGTGGTTAGAGTAACGTCGCTGATAAATGGGCTTCTAACAGCATGGCGGATAGTAGCGAAAGAAGAGAAACAACGATGGCGGATCGAAGCCTCTGAAGAATATTATTCACGTTTTAGGATACTCGATCGCAGTCGTATCGAAGCAAACTTTACCACAAAATGGAGTATACACTCTACGTGATGAACCGATTTGATCAAGATAGGGTAAATATTATGGCGAGGACTGGGAAAAAGAATTGGTAAACTTGGGAACGTAAGATGAATGTGTAAAAGAAGTTACAAGGGAAGAATGAAGAATAATGTATGAATAGATTTTTTAAAAATTTGGAGTCGTTTATGTAAAGAATGAAGCATTGAATATAAGGATATAGTAAATGGTTTGGTAGGTAATGTACAAACGTTAAAAATTTGATATTACTTATGCTGGTAGTATTTAAAAAAGGATAGTGGATACAGATTTTGGTGCAAGGGTTGTATTATTTATATCACAGGACAAATATTCATTATAAAAAGAGAAAAATATAAATAATATAGAGATTTCAATGGTAAGTTAGTATTATATAGCTCACGAGGTAATACTAATTATAAAAAGAGAAAGACGTAAATAATATAGAGATTTCAATGGTTAGTTAGTATTATTTAAATCACGAGTTAAATATTAATTATAAAAAGAAGAAAAAAGTAAATAATATACAGACTTCGGTAGGAAGTTAGTATTATTTATATCACAAGACTGATATTTTATAAAAAATACATTATAAAAAGAGAAAAGAGTGAATAATGTAGAGATTTCAATGGAAGGTTTGTATTATTTATATTACAAGACAAATATTAATTGTAAAAAGAGAAAAGAGTGAATAATATACAGATTTCGATGGAAAATTAGTATTGTTCATATCATGAGTCAAATATTAACTATAGAAAGGAAAAAAGAGAATAATATACAAATTTTAATGGAAGGTTAGTATTGTTTATATCATGAGTCAAATATCAACTATAAAAAGAGGAAAAGATGAATAATATACAGATTTTAATGGAAAGTTTGTATTCTTTATGTCATGAGTCAAATATTAAATATAGAAAGGAAAAAAAAGGGAATAATATACAGATTCCAGCAGAAGGTTAGTATTATTTATATTATTAATCGAGTATCAATTATAAAAAGAGAAAAAAGTGAATAATATACAGATTTCGATGGAAGCGTGGTATTATTTCTGTAAATTACAAATCGAATATTAAAAATAAAAGCGAACCGTGAATAATATGAAATCAGGTTTCATTAGAATCTCTCTATTATCGATATCATGTATTACCTATAAGGGAAAAGAAATGGTGAATAATATACAGGTTTCGCTGTTAAGTTTTATGTTATCTGCTTCAGGAATTGGGTATTAATTAGAACAAGAATATTGATTGATTTTTGATACAAATAGTTAACCAACAAAGCGTTACTATTATAAAAATTACACTTCATTTTGTTACTACATAATTTAATCAACCTTTATTCGCGTACATTTAGTAGTATAATTGTCTCTAGATTGTACATATTCCACCACGCAAAAGTACCTGAACACCTATTTAGATTCAGTAAGGTACTATTTAGTTATAAATTTGATTTTAATTTGAAAAATTAATATATGTAATGCAATAATAAAATTGATGTCCATAAATGCTATATTTCATAATAATAAAATGACCTACCAAATTTCTCAGCTTTAATTTTAAAAAACCTTTGAATATTATTACACTATTACATACACGTCCTTCAGTAAACCAAACAAATTTACTACTTATTACAAATAATATTAATATTAACTTTTAATCCACTGACTCCATGAAAAAATAAGAAGCGACATTTTCGTTCAATAAATTGTCGTCTATTAATTTTCCCATTCTAAGAACATTTTTAATTAAAAGTATTTTTGTGATACCTATGAAAAATACACTGTAATTCAATATATTTAGTAGTATAATAATAATACTAGTATAATAAATACTTTTATTCGTTAAATTGTCGTCTATTAATTTTCCCATTGTAATAACATTCCTAATTAAAATTATTTTTGTAATACCTATGAAAAACACTATGTATTTCAATATGTTTAGTAGTATAATAATAATACTATTATAATAAATGCTTTCGTTCATAAATTGTCCTCTATTAATTTTCCCATTGTAATAACATTTCTAATTAAAATTATTTTTATAATACCTATGAAAAACACTATGTAATTCAATATATTTAGTAGTATAATAAATATTGCTCCTTTTATATCTACATTCCAATCATATAAATACCCTGTCTGTCATTACTAAATTAATAATACATGACGTAAAAGTACATACTTACACGTCACATTAAAAACATGATTGAATATTTTATAATCGGACATGTACAATTATACAACAATATTACCGTATATTGCGAAATTTCCAAAAACTTTGACACTGGATCAACGAAATATTTTACACCTGACAGGTAACACACCGAAATTAAGGGGATACAACACCCTAGCTGTTAATGTAACGATCGCGTGTCGAATGGCTGTTACCATAGACGCCTCGAGTAATCTCCAATATTCCCTTGGAGCCGAAAAAGAACCCGCCGATTTCGCTCTTCCCGGCATTGTTCGCGAAAATGGAATTACGCCGATAAGTTATTACGAACAGGTAATTAGAGTCTTTTGTCGTAGCAAAACGGAACAACCCCGGCGCTTTGGTATTTCAAAAGAAAATGTGGTAAGTTCCGATTTTCATTGAAGAACGTGGCGAGAGAAACTTCCATTTGCAGTTTAGGTTTTGATGTATACCGCAGTTTATATTGTATTACGATGATACATGTGACACGTGATGAACAGATAAACTCACCTTGCAAACCGAACAGTTGACCGGGTTTCGATTGGGCGAACCAACTGTTGTATAAAATCGACGCAGAAGCTAGAGACGTTGCAGAATATGCAGAAGGATCGGCCAGTGTGACTTCCGAGTACGATAGTCCTGTTGATGCGTACAATCCTGTGCTCATGTCTACAAAACAACGAGTCAAATAATTTTTCACGCAAGATATAATTAATTGGGAAAAATATTAAATGAGAAAAATAAATATTCGAAATTGAGAAATTCTTTGGAAGAAGGATCTATTTGACAAAATTGTGGTTCCAAATATTCAAAGTTGGAAGCATCTTTTTCTCTATAAAACTGCAATATTGATAGAAATATTAAATAATAAATAAAAATAATAACTAATAAAATATGTAAAATGAAATAAAATAATAATATAGGAAAGCAAAAATAAATAATAATAGAACATATATGTATATATTCGATATTGCTTCCATTTTATCTTCAATATATGAAGAATAAGATTATAATAAAGAATAAATTATAGAAATGTGATAATTAAGAACAAAGACTACTTCGAAAAATTACAATCTTCCAAAAAGCTTCTTATTTGCAATTTGTGAGTTCAAAAATTAATTGATTTTTTTATTAACAGTATATTTATTGTAATTCATATATATGTGGATTAAAAAAGGTGGTTCTATTAAAATAGACGTCTACAATGAAGAAGAGTGTATTTTTAATGATAGGGTAATGACAATTAATTTTTATAATTAATGTATTATATTATTTAGTATTAGCTTATTAAATGGTAAGTGAGCAGTCTTAAACATTAGATAAAATGTTGAAAATGTTAATAAACATTTAGTAGATTGAAAATATTATAGAAATTGCAATATTGTTATTGTAACTGAAATATATATACTATTTGGATCCTGTTCTTCATTAACTATATAATATTATATTATAATGAATGGTAATTAATTATTAAACTCACAAATCAAAAGTATATTTCTGTCCTAATAATCCAAAACAATCATCATTATATGTATATTTCATTGTTATTAATATGCTCTTCATTGTAAATAAATATTATGTTACTTTGTAATGAATGAGATATTACCAAGTGGATCAATTAATTTAAAAAATCACAAAATAAAATAAAAATTATGTTCACTAGATTATACTTCTGTTTTAAACGATTCAAAGCAATTAACTTTCTTGATAACAGTTTTAATTTGTTATAAAACATATGAACAGATGATTTCATTAAAATAGAGGTTTATTATTAAAGAAAGTGTTACAATAAGACAAATAAAATGTTACCATTCGATGAAAATAATTTTTACTGTACTTTATGAATTTAAAAATTGATTGATTCCTTTGGCAATATCATATTTATTACAAAATACGAGAAAAAGTTTTGTCGAAATAAAAATCCACAATCAAAAATAGTGCATTAGCAACAATATAGTAAACAAAATGACAATTTTCAAACCGCTCAAAAACAGAAGTATTAACTGTCAAGCATAATTCTTATTTTAATCTATAACTTCAAAAATTAATCGATTCTCTCTATTATGTAAATAAATAAATTAATTATATTAAAACGAAGTTCCATAATTAATAAAAGTGTGATAATTACAACAATGTTAATCAAACATGACAGTCGTTTTGGATCATTTAAAATGCAAATTGGACCTATCTATCCCCAAACAAACCTAACACATACACATATGTAACCCATTTTCCAAAACCCAGTTGAATAATCGAAAATCGATGATCAATGAACCAAAAGAACGAATACTTCTTTATCTTGAAATTTTACCAGAATGAGCAGCAGATATGGCAGTTGGTCTGATAAACTGACTATCGTCCATTTTCTCGTCCCTCTCTTCCTGCTCTTCCTCTCTGTCCTCGGCACCGTTTAATCCAGCAGACACATCGATGTCCTTCTTCTCGTGTCTTCCAAGAATATTATCAATCGTGAAAGCACTAGACGCGGCGACTGGCGAACAATTCTTTCTCTCTATTTGCTTCCTATGAATCTCTCTGTAACTTTCACTGCTCGAATCGGATGCATACTCCACCGTGTCTTGATGGCTACCAGGCGACTTCACGAATCGTTCACGATCTTCCCTCGTTCTTTCGTACACGTCGTCCACGATTCTGGTCTTCGTCACTTCCTGCTGCATGGAGGCCCTTCGAAGATCATACACTTCGTTGTTCACCTTACCGTGATGCTGATAAAGCTCCATCGTCGGCAATGTCATCGGACTTCGTTGTCAAACTCCTCGCACTTGGATCTTCGTTGTCAACTTCTCGCACACTTGGATTCCACCAATTGGATTTACCAACTCGTTTCGAGCATTCGATCTACCAACAGCTATTCGCGTTCATACTCTAGAGCCACCTCAGATCACACTTATCCTGTCCCCGCGAGATGTCTTGGTCAAACTAGCAATTGGATTCTTGCTCAAAACAGCGTCCGGATTCTTGCACACCAGTCCATCCTTCATCTTTCAGCCACGACTGACGTAAACAGGATTCGATTATGTTCGGGACGTTGATTCGATGTTTAACTATCCGTGTTACCACGAGGGATTCGTCAGGCTTGTCAATCTTTGCTCCGCATTTAAGATCTAATCTACGACTAATCTCCCTCTCAGCCTTCCGAAAGCTAGCACCTCGAAATGTATGACAGGTGGCACGTGTCTGTGGTCCAGAAGAACCTCCCAGCCTCCCCACCAGCAGCTCCTGAGGGAAGGTCATCCTACCTTGCTGGACTAACATCTCGCGCCAGGAACCCCCACTCGCTTCTGTTACCTGATCGGAGTAGGGGTCAAAAGCTTATTCACACTGGTTTAACGTTGCTTTACTATCATGTACTGCGATAAATCGATAGAATACCTACTCTCTTGCTAAACATCTTCAGACGCTCCTTCTTCCAGGATTTTGGGTTCAGGATTCACTGTGACCTGAAAATTCCAGGTTGTTAACACTAGAACTACCAACCCAGTCATAATGAATTTTCCCAGTCCAGAATTTTCCTTTTTCCAGTCACCTGCTTTAAGAATAAAATTGGTATCAACTCGTATTAAGAAAGAACTGTAATCGATATATTCACTCGTATTCCGCTGAAATTACTATAATCTGTGCGCGTTGTAGTTAGGTACCCATTAAAGATCGGTAGTTCTAATGTTAAATCGTAATAAATAGTGGAGTTAGTCAGATTTGTCAAGCCTAATCTTGTCCATTTTGAGTTGAACCTGGATGGGATGATGGAATAAGAGGTTAGGTTCTAGTGATGGGTTAGGTGACGTGAGTTCGAAAAGAATAAGATGTATTCGGTTTAGATAGTATCTTTGGTTCTAGTTTCGAATCTTGAAGTTTCTTGTAATGTACTAATGTTTTCCTAGATTTTTGAGTGAGTTTATTTTTCTTAGGTATTGGTATAGTAGTGCTATATATAGAATATAAATATGAAAGATATAATAAAATTTAAAAATATAAAATACAAAAGATATAATCGATACAATATAAAAGAATTAAGAAGCAAAGTAATGATTTACGAATTTTTACGAATTCATGTGCTGAGATACATGGATTGAAATTGAAAATAGACTTAATAAAAGATATAATTTTAAAACACGTATTTTAGAAAATAAAATATGAAGTGTATCAGTGTATAAAATGTATACCGATATTTAATATATTTAGTATAAAGTATAATATATACACGTATATTTTGAAAAATTCGATTGCTATAGACGAGTAGTTAACAAGATAGCTTCTCAATTTACATTAGAACTGCCATCTTATAATTTTTATCTAACTAGATGAATATACACAGATAATAATAATTAGAATTCCATAAAACTGTAATGAAAAATTAAATATATATACTTACATTTTTATTTCAGTGAAAATTAACATTAATTTTACTATAGTCAATTTCATGTTTTCCATAGTACAAAAAGTAAACTATCTGAAACTAGTTACTTTTGTCAATCTAGTAACTCTAGTGTTTTTAACTATTAGTGATAATTTTAGAATAAAAATTGCTCATTTTTTAATATCTTTTGAATATTTAGTTAATATTGTTTAAATTCGATAATTATTTTTGAATGCGGCTTATTTGTCTGCAAAATGGAGTACAGTGAAACGTAAGAAGAGGAATAGGTGTCGCTATTGAGACTCCATTTCGCGTCGCGTCATTATTATGTAATTCCATGTAAGCACATTGTCATTGTCATCTTTGCACTATGGATATCCCGGGGAACATGTTGGTTTAATAGCACGATATGCGCAGTAGCAAACTTTATCTACCGAAAAAGTGTTCATCAGGGATCAGAAAGCGGTACTCCGATTGGCTCTTGGAGGCGCATGCTCTTCCGTAGCGTCCGCCTTCTTCGACCCCTCTATTTCAGGGCTTTATGTCAGCAAACTAATGGTTCCCTCTCTATCCCATATACACTCTCGCAATGGATAAACGCTTCTGCCATACGGAGAACGACGTGAAAAAGTACCGCAAAACACTTCTTCACGCGTTTACTAAACTCCTTACAGTGGTTCTCACGGGCTGCCTTAAGTTCTTTTATGAACACCTTAAAAAGAAGGGAGAGAAGAATTTGCACGTTACTTAATTATTAGAGTAAAGCTTCTGTGGATTTACAAAATATTTCCGTTTCCATAAATATTCCTATTTTTAAGATATTTCTCATTGCATAAATATTTCTATTTTCAAAATATTTTCATTTTCGTAGATATTCCTATTTTTGAAATATTCCCATTTTTATAAATATTCCTATTTTCAAGATATTTCTCATTGCACAAATATTTCTATTTTCAAAATATTCCCATTTTCGTAAATATTCCTATTTTTTAAATATTCCTATTTTCAAGATATTTCTCATTGCATAAATATTTCTATTTTCAAAATATTCTCATTTTTTTAAATATTCCTATTTTTGAAATATTTCTATTTTCATAAATATTCCTATTCTCAAAATATTTTTATTGCTACAAATATTCCTATTTTCATAAATATTTCTATTTCTTTAAATATTCCTATTTTATCATATTCCTATAAGAAATATGTAAATAGCAAATTTGATCTAATAAAGTTGAAGGAAAATCAGATAAAAAAGGGATTAAAATTCTGTAGAACTCTTCTCATTCGCGAAATTTTGATTTTTATAACTGAATTTTAAATTATATATATATATTTATTATCATTCATAACGAAATAGGGTCTTCTATATTTTGTTATTAAATAAAATATTATTAGATAATTTGAGACATAATATTAGATATAATTAAATCAAGAGTTTATCTAGAATTTAATTCGTAAATTTTGAATAGGATGTATAGTTTCTTTAAATGAAAAATAAATGTATTCATCATAATTTTTGGAGTCAAGATTGTAGCTGAATCGTCTGACAAACGCGAAGATAAATAATTTCAGATAAATTTGTGATATTTGAGATTCACGGTTCTTCACCTTAACGATACATTTTATCGAACCGTATCGAGCTAGTTCTGTTTACAGGTTTGAAATGCCGTGCATTTCTAGGGGAAGAGGTACCATTAGTTTTCCACTCAAACCGGCCCAATCTCAATGTTCATCCTCACACGTCGTAAATCTATTGAGTTCCACACTGCAACTGTTAAAGAACCATTCACGATTGTGTACACTTTTTGTCTTGTTTGTCACATCAGTTTTTCTTGACTGATGTTTAGTTGCTCATGATGAAAATTATATAACAACACACAAAGATATATAGTATAATATAACATAATAAGAATTAATGTACGATATTTAAATATCTATTTAATAATTGTGCAATAATTGTTAATTATTGTGATTCTGTATCAAGTTTGTGAAAAGTAATTATATTTTATCGGTTATACCTAATATATTACAATCTATATACAAAGGGTATGGATCTTCCACATATAGTGACAAATATAGGAAAAATAAATATAGGAATATGGGAAAAAATTGCTAAACAATCACCTGAGGGTTTAATTAATTTAGAAAAGGCTTCATTTGAAATATCAGGAAAATTGGAACCTTTCTTTGTTACTAAATCGCCATAGCTATACATGCCTATACTATGAATATTAAATAAATTTTGTCATTAATATAAAATAATATAAAATATTAATATAAAAAGCAATACACTACAAAATTGTGAGAATAGAAAGAAGGTCCAATTTCTAAAAGTACTATTCTTTGAAAGTGCTCCTCTATTGTTATTGACATATATAATTATATATATATATATAATTCGAAATTAGTGTTATATATTATTGTGTTATATATTATTATATATTATTAGTGTTATTATGGTATATTATTAGCGTTATATATTAAGTGTATATATATAATTTTAAATTAGTGTTATATATTATTATATATTATTAGTGTTATTATAGTA